CATTACGAAGTAGTACTTGGTTTAGTAAGACTCCGAAGGAACAGCATCATCATCAGCCTGACTACGCCTACTGGAGGCCTCTCCCATGCTCCGCTAATCAACCCGGCCTTGTGCTTTCTGCTGCCGCCTTATACCTGTGAACTTTTTTAACCTCATCGGCCCCAAATTTCTGTCTCCCCTTCATGCGTTTGCCTTCTCTGGGAATCCAGTCAGCAACCCTTAATGACCAGCGGTTATCCTGCCTACGCCCTACGGGCCCGGCCCATGTCCATTTCTTCTTCTTGATTTCAGCTATGATATACTTAACCCCGGTCTGTTCTCCAACACACTCTGCTCTCTTCTTGTCTCTTAACGTTACACATATCGCTTTCCTTTCCATTGCTCGCTGCGCCATCCTCAATTTAGGTGGAATTATTATTGTAAGCCTTCAGGTTTTTGCATCCTCCGTAGGTAAATGCTGGTAAGATGCAGCTGTTATTTTTTATACCTTCCTCTTAAGCTTTAGTGGTAGACTACAATTCATGATTTCAGAATGCTTGCCGAACGGGATCCACCCCGTTTTTATTCTTCTCGTTATTTCACGGTTCGGCTCCGCGGTTACTATACCTGTCCAACGGCCGCTCGATCTCTCCCAAAGGCAGAGATCGAGAAGCCGTGCCTGTCTTAAGTCAACATATCCCTTACAACTTCCAGCATCTCTCCGCCTATTGCAAGGTGCTGTTGTCTGGCGAGACTGTTGCACAATACTTTAGTTTTATGCATATTGATTTTCAGACCTACTCTTCTGCTTTCCATATCCAGTTCAGTAATCATGAGCTATAACTCGTCCCCTGAGTTACACATACTATGGTCTCCTTTAACTGCCTTTATAGAAAAAGGAATGTTAAACGCATGTAAGTATATTGCACAGTCACCCAATTGGTAAGGAATGTGCAATCACAGCGTGTCGAAGCTGTCGTAACGTGAAATCTCGCACAACCATTCATCATTTAATACGCAATTCTCAAGCCAAGCCCCGCTTAGAAGTAAAAATCCATCAGTGCTACTCCCTTCGTTGCGTACGAACGCACGCTTACGTCACTGCTGTCAACGTGAATGGAGAAGTAGTAAAAGATGCTCTTGAGTGGGAGCAGCTTGAGGTGGCGCGTCTGGATGACGCGACAGAAGGCTTCCATGGCGCACACCGTCTGCAGCACATCGCAGTTCTGCGCCAGATAGAGCAGGTTGCTGGAGGCGTGGCCCGGATGTTGCTTGAGCAGAATCACAATCACGTCGACGAACCTGGGTTCCAGACAGCGACGGCAATTTGTCGTGTCTCAAAAGCACCATTACCGTGCCGTGCCTCGCAGAACCAAGTCAACGAAATGCCTCATCATTGGCATCTCAACCAGAGCAATGTTTCCAAGAGCAGAGATGACAGGATGTTAAGCCTCTTGCTGATGTAATCGACTCTCTGTTCTCCTTCTTTCAATAAACGTAATTAATGGTTTCATTCACGAGAAGTAATGAAGCAATGTAAAAGTGTACAAGGCTGAAAGATGACAAGCGGGCTCGCCCGCTTCCGCACAAGTCACACGTAGACCTCCTATTTTTCTTTCATTATATGCGCTGGCGCCTGACACTGAGTGCTAGCAGTCATCTACGTCCATGAGGTTGAAAACATGGAGTCTCGTGGCTTTTTATATGCAACGGAATAGCGCTCCTCCACTGCGATTTTCGAATGGCTAACGATGAATCGCATTTACATGCACGTTACTAGTATTAGCACTGGCTAGCACCAGCTGTATCATTGCTAAGTGATTACAGGTGCTGGCTTAAGCTGGCAAGTTTAGGTTATCCGCTGTTATAATAGCAGCAACGCTTCGTTAAATCTCCGTCCAACGGCGCTCTCGCATCTCTGTACACCAAACACAAGAATCGCTTCTGCCTGACCTATTTTTTTTTTTTCAGCAGGAACGTCCGCTCGCTTTGCTCACTTTCATTGAAGAGTATACGATGAATGGGACCGTTATAATAAGGGCCATAACGTCAGATTTCGGGGCGCATATCAATGTCGCCTTTCAAACGTGCTAACCGACAACAGGAGCTGTCCAGCAGCGTGTCACACAGAGAGCTATAGGACCGACCTGTTTCGAACCTTGATGCGCGCCGATAGGAGCTGGTCAAACGACGTCTTCAACACGCTCTTCACCATATCCGTGGTCATCTTGGAGCCATGCTTCTGGAGGACCGAGGCCAGGGCGTCGGCCGAGGCGACCACCACTTCAGGACTGCTGGCGTCCAGCGCCTTGCTCAGGTTCTCCAGGCAGACCCTCAGGTTGCGATCATCTCCAACTACGCACGGGTAGCGCTCGATGTACTTGATGGTCTTGAGTCGGTCCAACGTGCTGTTGCCCGCGGCTCCGGACGCGATGGGCTTGGCCAGGGCATCGTTGAGAAGCGAACCGCTCTCGCGTTGCCTTCTGCAAGCGCAGAAGCGCTGGTACCACGGCAGGTCGGACTGCAGGATCTCAACGGGGGGTGGTACGTGGTTCAGCATGGCGAGCATGGTGGCGGCGGCTGCCCGGCGGCGGCTGCGAGGCACCCGAACGCACTCAAACAGGAAAGGCATGCATCTTTGACCTTTGATGCCCCTTTTTGAGAGTGCTGTTTCCTCAGCGCTGCCGCTATGCGCGTCAGCCCCTGGTCCTATGTCGCGCACGTTTGGTCGTCGTCGTTGCTTCAACCAGGCTAGGAAAGGCTGTGGCTTGTACCCTCTATATGCTGCGCTTGATCAGTAATTTCGGTATTTGATCTTCATTAGATGAAATCAGACATTGCATTATGAAAGCTTATATTAGGATCAGGTCTCATGACTGAGGAGCAAAAGACGAGAGCCCCTCATCGTCGGGTAAAAATATTGCCACGCGCCTTTCTTATTCCACTTTTGCTGTAGACGGTTCACGCCTAGAAAGACTGTAGATAATCATATCGCATACGTCATGCGTTATGACGTATGGGAGTGTGAATATCTAACAACGACGGGTACGTCTCACAAACACAGGGAATCAAAACTCAAAGTTGTTTCAACATACAACCATAACTGGAGTTGCCCCGCCGCAGCGGTCTAGTGGCTAAGGGTACTCGGCTGCTGACCCGCAGGTCGCGCTATCGATTCCCGGCTGTGGCGGCTGCATTTCCGATGGAGGCGGAGATGTTGTAGGCCCATGTGCTCAGATTTGGGTGCTCGTTAAAGAACCCCAGGTGGTCAAAATTTCCGGAGCCCTCCACTACGGCGTCTCTCATAATCATATGGTGGTTTTGGGACGTTAAACCCCACATATCAATCAATCATCAACCCATAACTGGAGTTTCACAATACGAAAAGACAGTGAGCAGTCATTACTGCAGTCATTGCATAGACGCGCCGCGTTATGTACTGATTCAGGTAGTCCAAACAAACGATTTCAAGTGAAGAATTGAGGCAAATAAAATGGAAGGCGCGGCAGAGCTAGAACTTACCCTAATATTTTAACTGCGGTCATCCATGCTTGTTTTCTTGCTGTATCGTACGACTTGTCCGGCAACAGATAGCTTTGCAGGTGGATCGCGGGCATTGGTACCATCTGCCCTGTAGTGGACCTCGCCGATGCTTCCGTGGGTCGCCTCTGCCATTGCGGAAAGGCAACTTCGAACAGCGAGCATCTCGTTTGAACGCGCCAAGCTTACGGCAAGGCACCGAAGTTCCCCGCACCAACGCGTGCTGCGCGTGCCGCATGCACTTGCTCCGGCTGTGGTGACACACACCCAATCGCCTGCTCCCTTAGCCATGCCTATCCCCAATTCACCCAGAGCTTGCCGCCAGGGCCGCAGCACGGCGTCGGCGTCTTTCCGCCAACTTGAACCATATTCTTATCCTCAGTCGATTTATTGATCCTCTTGCCTCCAGCGATAGCTTTGTGCACGTTATACGGTTTTACACTGCCTCCGTAATCGGCAGACTTTTGACAGAACGATGGTTTTACCTGATGACGCCATCATGTGACGTCATAGTGACGTCAGGTGACATCACATTTCGGTTATCTGTGAGGTCACGATTTTTTGCATATCTCGCGCTCAAGCCGCGCTGCCGACGCAGACGATCAATTTTTGAATTTGGTGAGCCATCTGAGGCTTTGTTGAATAACATGAATAGTTGAGTAACAGGCTTGGTACGTAACGACGGCACAATGTGTTCAGTAGTCGAAGTGAAACTTGGAGGTGTTCACCGCTCGAAAATAGCTACCGTCAAGTGAACTTTGGCAACTCTCTGAAAACGACTCGCGAAGATGAAATACGACCATCTAATTTCTGTTTAGCAGCCAATCCGATAAAAGTCGTTTATAGGCAGCAACAGCGGTGAAGCATCAGAGACTGCGAGTGTACGCGCCATGAACAGTCCGGCGCAAGTATGGTATACCGGATATTCCAGTACACCACGGTATGACTGGCCTCTGTTAGGCTGCTCTGTTTCCTGCAAGCAGACGAGAAGAGATTGGAAAAGGCAACATGGCACCTCCTTCCTCTCGGTGGCCGAGTTAAGTGTTGCGATAACTTGCTTGCAACGTTCATATGAAAAGAAAGCATGGAACAATAATGTGCTGAATGAAAGCCTCTATAGTGCAGTTACGAATATTGTGATAGGTGTACCTCGTATCTCAACGCACTTGAATCATTGCACGACGTACCGAAAATGCAGGTAACGATGATGTAAATGTAGCCTAAAACTTAATGTATCTGGTTCCATGTACGACGTACTAGTAATCATAGGTGTGCGCGCGGGGAGGGGGGGGGGGATGTCACTCCTAGTCACCTGTAACAGGGAGTCGCAAAGCCAACCCCATACATTGACATAATAGGGAGGGGGTGCTGCGACAAAACTCCTTCCCCCCCTTCTTCCCCTGAAGGGGGCCCTGCGTATGTCTATGCTAGTGACAGTGAAGGTACAACTGTCCCCTACCAAAGTGATCAGCCGTAGATAATAACAAAGTAGATCGGATTATTTCACAGACCCAGATTGTTTGTGTGCTCAACTAAGAAAAAACGTATTTCTCACTCTCAAATACATATTCCGTCAATGCAAGCCGGCGTTAAAGTCCCTGGAATGGCCGTCGAACGACTGCACGAAAATCTCGGTGTGATCCTCGTTGATGACGGCTCTCACGACCGAGTCCTCGCGCATCCTCTGAAACCAGCTCGAAAAGCGCGGGAAACTTTCGGAGCTGGGCATTTTCAGCGTGGCTTGAGCCACGGACAGTGCACGGGCGAGTTCGAACGTTGGCCACGCAACGTAGTCCACAAAGCCCGGCGTCGGCCCTGCAGAGAACAGAAACAAAGAAAAGACGCAGAACAGGAAGAAAATAAATTATGAAGAAATGACGATGATGATGCTGAAAGATGGAGGAATAAGAATACGATTAACATAAATTATTTAAAAATTTATGCGCCTCACCGAACAAGAATAGTGACCGTCGGCGTAGCTGCCATCCTCAACAAGAATGGCGCCAAACAGAATCATCATCATCACATGGTAGATTATTAATATTGTAGTCAATATTAGTCAGCATTAATGTCATGGTCATGATCATCGCCGATTATTCACCATCATTATCGGAGGTTATCGGAGATAAGATGGCCTTGTCTCATGCCTTGACTTGTGTGTTGCGTGGACGAATATCGGTTATTACAGCTCGCTTCTCCGCGAGATGGCGTGAAGCAACACTCAAAGGCAGGCCTGTAACCGTTCAGGTGCAGTACACGTTGCAGATGTAGCGCACGGTAAACTAATGCTGTATAGCACGCAGCCTGAAACGTAGCGTACGCAACGCGCAGCATGTTGCGGACGTACAGTCTTGCGTACGCTAATCTAAAATTCTCTATAATGACTGCCGAGACAGCGTGCGCGGCAGTGATTGTGGTATTGGTTTGCATATGTCCTTAAATACAAGTGACCTAGAAAACACAGTAAAGATAATTATACAAGGCGTGCATGACGCGTGCATGTGGCTCGCAGTACACGCTTTCAGGTCGTTCTCTTGGGTGTCAGACTTACATTATTTATGGCTAACAGTCCACAAGCGGGAAGTCGTGCGTATCCGCTCGTTATCCGGTGCTGTGTCAAGTTGCACGCTTTATCAGTGGATATATGAATACTCGTGCGCATGCCGTAAAATGTGGCTGCGTGACTATGAAAAGTATGATAGCATAAAAACGTTTCACCGCAAGGGCGAAACAATGAATGAGACAGCAAGAAATTGTAACACGAAGAGACGCAGCTAACTCTTCGATTTGATTTGGCTGAACTCCACTCTACAAAACGCTGGTGCAAGAGACTACGGCCCCTCCAGGGAGAGGAGCAGTGTTTTTGCAGTCTCTTCGCATTGAGAGAACGACACGTACAAAGGTATACGAGTTGATGCTTGCCGAGATGGCGCGCGCGCCTGCGGTCTTGAGCGCACCCTTATAAACAAAGTCCACAGTGGCTGCTATAACGACCCGAACAGATATGTGGAATCCTGGCAGGCCTTGCTGCTCAATTGCGAAGCAGACACAAGGTCATTGTTTTCGCCTAAACAGGCGCCATAGGTCCCAAGATATTCCCCCCGTAATTTTTGACAGCGCAAGATTAAAGTTACGTCTTCCTGTGAGTGATGATGAGAACAATGCAGCGCGACAAAACATGATCATGAGATCTGCCTGCGATCGTGCGTCCAGAGAAAAAACGGTAAGCTGTCCTAAGTACCAAGGGCATTCTCAAATCAAAATTGAAGCGTTGGCGAAGACAGACAAGTTATTCGTCGAACCAAAGTCAATTCTGTCAATCAACGTGCAAGGCAGTTGACTCGCCGAGCGCACTGGACAAGATGCGGCAAAGCCGACTCGACACACCCGATTGTGTCGTGTTCATGCAAAAAATAACGAGGTAGACGTACCACCGAAGAAAGGCGTGCTCCTACAAACGAGCTCCTTCTCGAACAGTGGTATCTTTCTGAGAAAGTTGTCCCAATTATCTTCCACGGACCCTCTCCTCATCATGATAGAGACAACCACATTGGCCGTCTGCAAAGGTGAAACACATTCTTCACTTCACTTTCACTTTTATTTCCTTAAAGACATTGTTACCATGTCAGCGAAACACAAACAATAGAAAGTATTCCGAGATTTTTTCCGTATACTTTTTCACGTATATTAGGGTTAACGCAAATACCTAAAGTCAAGCCAAGTTTTGTTTACATCATGCAAGAAGTACAATGTTGCCGGCCACCCTGGCAAGAGAGCTGTAAACATGCAACTTGACGACGCCCGGGGGCCACTTACAGGTAACAACAGGAGTGCACATATGCGCAATAAAAAGCTTCTTGGTGCGACATGTTCATTAACACAACGCGTAGTCCCTGGGCATAATCCTAAATACATATTTGCGCCCTACGAACTCAGTAATATACGTGTAACATAACTGCTAAGGAAGTATATACTGTTACACTGTCGTAATGAACTTCATGAAAAGTAGTAATCCAGAACAAAGGCTGGTAAAAAATACGCACGTGCAACTCACTAGAAATGATTATAAATGCGATGAATTTATTGCAATAGTAACGGCCCCAAGCTATATTTCCATGTTTTAAGCAGGCAATTGAAATTTGTCAAGGACCAAGTTATCGCTTGATTGCGTGCGCGATTGCAAGAACACCCACAGGGACGTCTTGTGGCTCTTTGTCTAACTACAACCCGTTATCTTTCAGCGTGTGTCTATCTACGTAGAGTACAGAGTGTTTGTTACTGTTAGTATTCGCGCCAGTATGTCCTATGACATAACATAAACAAACATGTGACAGTTCTGTTTCCTGGATAACGTCCTGGAGCGGCCGATGTAGAGACAGTCGACTGGGGCGATCTACAGCCAAATTGGCGTAGGCGGTGAGTGCGGGCCTCGCGATGGTCTGAAGACAGGTCCCCATGAAGTGATCAAGCGTTGCGTGCGCGGCTGGAGCTACGCAGAAGGGGCATGTCAATGGGGGAGGCTTTGTAGCGGATGTTCAAGAAGCCTGGACGGCCGTAGGCCGTGGTCCAGGGTTCGTGTGGAGTCACACGAATCCTCCCGAGCGCAACCTCCTTTCCTGGCGAGTCAAGCTAGCGGAAATGTCCTAACGTGGAACTTTAGAGGGTCCGCTGTACATGTCTAGGCACTGTCGTTGGCGTTATACCGGGGAACTGAACACTGATCATGTGAAAAGTAAGGTGAACGCCGGTAGCGACATCATGCGACAATTTGCAAAACGACAACCCTATAAGTGTGGCAGCTTGGGCTAGTTGGTATGGCATGACGATAGTTATAGCGCGAGAACAAAACGACGACACAGACATAAGAAGGACACGAAAGACACGAGCGCTAAGCGCGAGCGCTAGCGCGTTGACGCTATACGCGCTCATGTCTTTTGTGTCCTTCTTGTCTCTGTGTCGTCGTTTTGTTCTCGCGCTATAACTACCTTCATGACAACCCTATATTCTGAAACGTTGTCCTTTACTACTGAGTGTGTTTCTGTTTGCCTAAATGGTATAAAACGCAGAATTAGTGCATAGTTATAGCGCGTCCTGTACACCGGATCGTTGACGCTATATATACGCCACTTCGTTCAACCCTGCCAGCGACATCTCATAACATATTAACGCGATAGCGCTGAAGATCTCGTTTTGCGGAAATTGCAGCGTCGGCGTCGTTGGTTATGAGCGAAAAAGCATCATCTTGTACGTGACCGAAACATCGAGAAAGATTCAAATGAAATGAATAATAAAAAAACTCTAATTCTCAGGGAGGATCGAACCCGGGTCGCTTACGTGGCATGTAGGTGTTCTACCACAAAGCCACACGTATGCTTGGAAACACAGTGAAAATAACTTTTACTGCTTGGACATGCCGGGAAAGTAACTTTCATGGTTTACAAAAACATGCGTCCTGTATACATGCTTCGCAATGCAGCGTGCACTATCGCAGTAATAATGCCTGGTACAAGCGTACATTTCGATCGGGCGTCAGAACAGGTGGTTATCATGATTTCACGATTTAAGGTGGACCACCCTCTACTACACACGTTAGTGTGTAGTAAGAAACTGAAGGAGGCTCAACTCTGCATGACTATGTTTTGCATAGACGTCGTCATGCTGCCACGAGGGTTGACGTAGAAACAATAAAATTTGTCGATGATGAACTGTTTTCATGGTTATTCCAATGCCAAAAATTATATTAGCAGAGAACTTGCCCCTTGATTACTTCAATAACAACTCCGTATTGGTCTGCTTGTGATCAGCGCCACCGGATGGCGTCAACATCCAAGCCAATCTGGCCGCTCAGGCCACTGGGACCATAAGCTGAGCTTTTGTGAAAAAGACTTAAATAGATCTCGAGCTTGCGCAAACTAGAACGACCTAGGGGTTCTGTATATACTGTAACTCGGGCCTTCTCCAGCTTGCTACCTCAGAAAACCTGCATTCCGCATACAGTTAAAAGTTTGCGGGCAAGCTAAGTATCAGCTAATGTTGCCGTTAGCTATACCATAGTCAACGTAACTGCTGTTAAAAGCGTAGGGGAGGTCCTTTAATATGCGGCCTTTCAATAAGTGTGTCATGAAGAAAAAGGCTCAGGTCACAATTAAAAATTCATGACGTATGTCCCACAGTTGCACTTAGTGTAACAAGATGTCTCTACCACGGCTGTTACTCGACGTCCACGACTCCGATAACAATGTGTTTAAAGGACACTATGTTGGCACACAAGTTAACCCAGAACAGGAATGCTTGGGGGGACTTAGAGCGGACGTAGACACCACAACGGCAATAATGGCCTTGTTGTAGGTGTGAAGTTCGATCGCAGAGCTTCACACCTGGCAGCAGTAACACAATTGAACGCTTGGTGCGGCGGAGATTGGCTTCACAGACGAGCTTTAAGCAGTGTCGTATTGTCGTTTTATTTTCTTTGTTTTTGTTTTAACGCCTTTTTTCTGGTATCTTTGGCTTTCCTCAATCAATTAACAATGCCCGCTTGGTTTACGAATGCAGGACACACAAACATAGGATGATTGTGCAGTTCGCAACAGCCTCACACAGGACTATCCCCACGTCCTTGACGGCATCGGGGCTCACGCACGAACACAGAGCCAACCCTTGGCTTATATTAGTGTGTTCAGACACGGTGAGGTATAATGAACACAGACTTTTTGGATGCACACGTGCGACGCTTGGCTATTGCCTCTTACCGAGAAAGTTTACTGCTCGACGTTACCTGCAGACCCATCGAGTACTGCTTAAATTTATGAACCAAATGAATGTGGCCATTCGTTTATCTACTTTTGTTCTTCTTTTGCGTGTTTCAACTTATTATTTGTCCAAGTCTTCGTCAATAATTTTCTTCCCCTTCATATATCTCCTTTACACCTTCCTCTCCTTCCGATTTCTTTCCACTCTCTATTCCCTCCTCCAGAAAGAAGAAGCAGGTGTTGTGCCCTTCTACGTTGCAGAGTTAAGCCTGATCTCTCCATACTTTGTGTCTTTCTGTATTTGTGTACACTCACCGAACAACTACGTAAATATGTTTAGACCGGTATAACCTTATTGAAGGAAAGAAGAAATGGCAGAGCAGACCGACACAACAGAGCAGAGCGCTCCTGTTGCGTCGCTCTACTCGGCCGTTTCTTCTCTACCGAAATAAGCTATACCAGTTCAAGTATAGACGAACCAACTCGCCCAATCTTCGGCACTTGTGTATATAAATATGATTCCCCATACCTTCTCTCTCAACCAAAGGGTGGCCAGCTGGCCTCGTAACTGGCTATAGGCTCCTCGTCTTTCATTCTTTCTTTTTCTTTGTTTTTTTTCTTTTTTCTTTCTTCATTCGTTCGAGCCATGGATCCTAAAAGTTGTCTAAATCTTGAGAACTGTGTGAGCTTACGGGCAATGCAACATCCAGGAAGCTCCTGTCCCGCGCCTTCAGGTACGGGTCCGCGGGCATCATGGGTTTCGTCTGTGGATACGCCTCTTCCAGGTACTCAACGATGGGCATGGATCCACTGATGAGTTTATCATCTTGAGAAAGCACGGGTATGGTTCCCGCAGGAAGCACATCCTTGCACCACTCCGGTCTGTCCTTTAGGTTGATGTTGACCACTTCGTGACTGCCGTTGAAAACAAAAAAGGGCGGCGCTGAAATTGTGCTATCAGGTCAAATTTCAGCGCATATCGACGTACTATATAATCGATAAATTAGGCGAAAGCGGTAGGGCCACACTGAGAATAAAATTAAGACAGGAGGAAGAGGAAGAAAGTTTAAGCAGAAAGACAGGGAGGCTAGCCAGTTCTTAGACCGGCTGGCTACCCTGTGCTGGGGAAAGGGGTGAGTGGAATGAAAGATGTTAAAAAGAAATGTTGCGAAGAGAGAGAGAAAGAGCCTTATACTCTTTGATGTTGCCTTTCCTCTGTCGCAAAATTAAGACAGTTTGTAGGGCAGCGAAGGAGTACCACGAGAACGGCCGGCAGCAATTTTGAAATAGGAGCGCAGAGAAAAAAGGACAAAGTCAGCGAGGTTGGACCCAGCAATTGGGGCCTTAAGCGCCGTACATGTGAACAGGCCGTTTTTTTCTCGAATGGCGGAGGAACGACGAGGAAGTGCCACTATGGCAAAATGCTGAATGTGTAAGTTCTACGCTTTCTTGTGAATAATTTTCATTTCACCAGTCAAGTGTGGTTTATTGCTGGGATGCGATGGAATTGGAGCCCCCCGCAATACACCGGACACCGGAGTGTCCGCGGGTGTTCCTTCCAGGATGCGCTACAACTCCGACAGTGGCACTGGCAGCGATAAAACCGTACTCTACGTCAGCAGTGAAGATTCGGGTGACCACACCTTCGAGCCTGTGAGGAGCCACAAGGAAAAGTCCCCCATGCGATCTTCGTAGGATACGGAGGTATTAAACACGGTCTAACACCGTGGCATTGACCATCCTCTTCACGCAACTTCTCGCCAGTGACAACACGAGATGGCTCGACCGGCAAGCCGTATCTGTACAGCAAGAAGCACTGGTGCCGAATGAAGTAAAGGAAGTAAGAGTGAATAGCCTCAAAAACATCCTATAGCGATCGACATCAATCATGTGAGTGCGCTAGACACACTGCGCGATGCTGCGGAACTTATGTTGCGGAACTTATTGGGATAGAAGTACGCTCTCATATGACGTTGGGCAAATAAGTAATCACTGGGATAATTTATGATGTTGATGAAGTCATTACCAACACGAACTTACCAGACCTGGTCAAGCCGGCTGTAGAAGACATTATTGCAAGTATATTGGAACATCACGATGCGTTAGGATTATATTTAAGGGCGATTAACCCCCATCTCACATAAAAGTGGGCCACTTCCGACACGCAGTTCGCCCTTTGTATCGAAACCACTTCAGTGCTGGAAGCGCATGAAGTTAAATCGCGTGAGTACTGTGTGCATGAACTCTACCGTCTGTTCCTGATGCACCGGACACCATAACACGGACATGTGCCAGGCCACAGTACTAAGGTGCTCAAATTCCAACGGGCCGCATGATGATTCTTTGAAGGATTGTCCTATTATTCGAAGGGAGATATCAATACTGAAGAAAAGGGCTAGAGATAAACTCTCACATCAATGTCAATATCCATTTTATTCAGCTTGTATAGATACAATGTAGCATAGTGAAGTACTACACTCGGAGGCCCCACAGATTCAATAACTGACGGGGGAACCTCCTGATACTATAAGTATGTTAAGTTTCGTGGGCAACATGAGAAAAAATACAGGCAAAAATTTTACAGGAAAGCTAAAGGAGCTACATAAAAAAAATCAAAGCAAGAAATGGACGAGAAAAGAAAGCAAGAAACAACGAAAATCTGGCGTAGCATATAAAATTATTAATGTAATGTAAGCTTAAAAAACAAAACACAAAGCTATATAGGACACAGGCATCATGAATTCATCAAAACAAAGTGAACACATTAAGATTTACCACAGAAACAGCATATAAAAGATTGAATACCAAACGATATAAAAAATTACGGCTACAAAACAAAAGCAAGATTAATTCATGAAAAAAAAAGAAATGAAGAATTCAATGGTAATGATAAAAAATTAAGCATGTGCAATGCCAAAAAGAAAGAAAAAAATCTATAGAGCAGGTACATATAGGAGCGTTGAGGAAGCATCTCGTTTATAATGTTCACCATGCGGCCATTGTAGCTAAGTACCAATAGTGTCGCGCCTTCGAGCATTTCGACCAGTGTTTGATTGTCGACAGCGTTTCCGTGTGGGCGAAGTGAAAAGTATTCGTGTAAGAGCATGCTGTGGGCGCACGTGAATTAATCCAGCGTGGTCGAAGGTAATCCTGAAGCCACACGGCAGTGTGCCCCATAACAAGCTACACGTCTTCGTACTTGCTGAGCCGCAGTCTGAGTTATAGGAAACACGCCAGAAAGATCACAATGTTGTTCAAAAGCATGTTTTTTCACCAGGCAGATATTGTAAAATTAAAGCGCAGTTTTGTGTTTCAGCACCGTTTAAGTCTTGTTCTTGCAATCGTGTCATCGAAACAGTGTGTTTAGAAAAAGTGGGTAACGATTTAGAGTTCTAGGTACTCTACTATGGGAGGGTTTAAAGCCGTCTCATGCGCATCCACACCAAGATATGGCTCAATAGGCAATCAATCAGCAAGTCATTTGGTCTATGGAGTTGAAGCAATATTTTATCATTCCTTAGCTCATGCCGTACTTTCCACATACTCAATGCACCGAAGACAGAAGCCTTATTTTCATAACTGGATAAAAAGTGTAAGAAAATGCAAAATAGTACTTATATCTTCTTTTTTTAATTATTTCATTCTATTTATTTTCAAACGCTGAGTTCTCATGGAACGTCTATCAATGGTACCAATCACAATATTTAAAAAAAAAAGCTATGCAAAGATCGACACAAGGCTTTTTTTTTTCTTTTTTGCTGTTTGATAAATGAAAGTGGCAGCCAGAGCTCCCAATACTTACTCGATTGATTTTGCTTTCAGGATAAGCAGAGCTCGTTGCGCGTATGGGCAGAACCGCATGCTGTACAACCGAAGTTTCCCGGGAGCAAGCGATGGGAACTCTGCGCCTGACGAAAAACGCACGCGAGAGAACATCGAGTTCCAATTATCCGCGTCTCGGCACGACCACGTCTTCGTTTTGCATTTTTCCCATTGTCGTCGATTGCCGTTGACGCTGTCTTGATTTTGCGGCCTCCCTCTATTGAAACACACAGTGTGCCCAACCGTTGTGGTCTAGTGGATAAGGTACTCGGCTGCTGACCCGCAGGTCGCGGGATTGAATCTCGGCTGCATTTTTGATGGAGGCGAGAATGCTGTAGGCCCGTGTGCTGATATTTGAGTGGTCGAAATTTCCATGGAGCCCTCCCCCATGGCGTTTCTCATAATCGTGTGGTACTTTTGGGACGCTAAACACCACATATCTATCGAAACACACAGCGTTAGTAACGGTGAGGACACAGGAAGGGATCGCACATCGGCGTGTGCAAGGTTGATGGGGAGGCGATGGTTCGTCGCAGTGTTTCTTCCCCCTATTATGTGAATGTTGACGATCTGTTGTTTAACATGACCTAAATTCAAGTACACGGGTCTGCGGCGTTCGGCCTTCATTGAAAGGCTATCACCACGGTCGGAACTCGACCCTGTGCCCTTCGGATCGGCATTCAGGCACCAAAACCACTAGACCACCGCGGCGGGATAAGAAGCAACATTACAAGACCTAAAATTAGTAGCGTCCAATAACTGCGCTGCATACGCACCCGATGCGAAAGCCCAAGGGTCCATGTTGGAACGACGTCTTCGGAAAGCGTTCCACGCCTTGCTTTCAAGGAACTATAAATGTTCCAAAGGATTTCGGCGTTACTTTGCGAGCTCGCGAGACGAGAAACAAACCCGCCGACCGCCAAGGAAGAACACCTATGCTATGCACGCAGATATCTGGAAGTCGTCGGAGCGGCTCATATCGGTGTGTTATCTAACCCCCCTCCCCCGCGATACGCAGTATCTGAGGGCACGCAGTGTGTTATCACCGACACGTGGAGTCATATTCGCAGGCGTCCATGTTTCGTTCTAACCGATACCGCTCACAAGCACGTCAAAGGGCGGCATTTGTAGGCGCGTGGCTTCCTAGAAATAGACCAGCTTTTCTTTTCTTTTTCCTCTTCTTTTTCCCCTTTCGGCGAAGACAATTCGTTTGCTCCGATGAATAAACTTTTCTCATCATCACGCAAGCAACATGCGCAGCGCGAGCTGCGCATGTTTGGGTGATGCGCACAACTTCGCGTTCAAAGACAAGACAGTGACATGCAAACCAGGGCATGCAACCAGAGCCGCACTAAGCATCAAGAACGAACGGCGTCCACCTAATTGAAACGTGGGAGTTCAAGCTCATCCTCGAGGACCTGGAAGACCGGCGACAGCTCGTCGCCAGGGCCATGAAGGCCGTCAAAGCCAGAGTGTTCCTGGACTAGGGAACCCTCCCACCTTAGGGAGATACCGGGCATCACTCGGAACACTGTTTCGAAATAAGCGTTTATTTCTCTCTTTCTCTCGCCCACTCCTAATAAGCGTAGCATATATGTGCAGATGCTGCTGCGCACGGCTACGCTCGCACGCGACACGTGAGGGAAGTTACACGCGCGACGTACGGCTCTACTTCTGTAGTCCAGCATTGTAGTCCCGTTCTCCCTCCTGACCACTCTTGGCGTAGAGGAAGACGTGGTCCTCGTTCACGGTGGCCTTCACCACAGGGTGCCCTCGCATGGCCTGCAGCCAGCGCGAGAACAGCGGGAACTCGTCGGCCGCCGGCATCTTGAGATCGGGATAGAGCTTGCTGAAGGCGAGAGCAGCCGGAAACGAGGGCCAGAGCACGTAGTCCACCAAGCCGGGTTGGTCACCTGTGCGTACGACCACATGATGTCACTTATGGGGCTGTTCGGACGCGCTCAATAAAAGCAAGTCATCGTCGCTGTCAGTTACCTCCGAAGTACGTCGTCTTCCTCTTGCCAAGCTCTTTTTCAAAGCACCCGATTTTCTTGACAAAGTTCGCCCAGTGCTCTTCCTTCGATCCTCTCTTCAGCGAAATGCTGCCAATCAGCGATGCACACTTAAAGTTGAAAGAAAGGAAAGACATATAATGACATATCAAGATACTTCACATATTGCAAAATGGTATATAAGTGTGAGTGTTTGTACTGGTAGATTCGACATTTAGTAATAAGAGTTTCCATCAATCCCAAAAGCACCATACTATGATGGACTGTGTTGTGGGAGGCTCCAGAAATTTTGACCACCTGGGGCTCTTTAACGAGTACAGTGGGTGGGCCAATAGCAATTCGCCTCCATCGCCATGCGGCCGTTACGGCCAAGAATCGATCTCGCCACATCCGGGTCAGCACTCGAACACAATCACCACTAGACTTTCGACGGTTGTGAGTAGGTTCAGTGAAAGGCAGGGAGGATAATCAGGCTGTCAATATCCGGTTCGCTACACTCCACCGAGGAAGGGAAGACAGAAAGGTGAAAAAAAAAGGATAGGGCGTTGGAGGTCAGGAAAGAAAAAATATATCAATAATAAACCTTCACCGTAAGCGTCATTCTCTCAGCATCGGCAATCCCACATCTAAATGTTGCAAATGCTATAACTACCAACATTGCGTCGAATGGCAGGTTTCAGATGGTTTGTAGCGATGGACTAAGCTTTCTTCCATTGATAATCCACGTCTACATATGTCCTACCCAATAAAAAGGTCTTCGGGTTCCGTCAATGCAAGCCTGTTAACTCACTGCTAATGCCGAGTCCAGAAAGCTCCTGTCCAAGGCCTTGAGGTACGGATCGCTGGGCAAGAGACGCGGCTGCGGGTACGCTTCTTCCAGGTACTCGGCGATCGGCATGGAACCGCTGATGACCTTTTCGTCCTGGTACAGCACCGGAACGGTACCCGCGGGTAGTACGTCGTTGTACCACTCGGGCCTTCTCGCCAAGTTCACGTTGACCACTTCGTGGCTAGAAACATTATTCGCCGTTTAATAAGCAAAAATAAGGCTTTGTTTAGAAAAGAGATTTCCGGCAATCTAGTAACATCTTGTCACTGAAACAGGCAATTGTAATGAAAGACGTATTTGCGGCCAAAAGGACAGATAAGAAGTACAGGAACATTGGAGAGCAAGAGAGAGAGAAATCAGAGGAAAGGCAGGGAGGTTAGCCAAGCAGGAACATTAGAAGATATATGGCCGCTTAGGAGAAGAACGACGATCGCATCATGACCCAACAGGAGAAACTTGTGTATAACAGCTGTGGGCTTATGTACGGAATACTCACTCTAGGCCCTTGGCGTTAAGCATTAGGAGTGCCCGCTGCGCGTAGGGGCAGAACCTCATGCTGTACAGGCGCAGTTTGCCCGGAACAAGCGGCGGAAGCTTGGAGCCTGCGGGAAAAGAAAACGCACTCTAAGTACTTCGAAGTACAAGCTCCGCGCATGAAAACGCAGATTGAGGCTTGAAGCGATGGTTAGCAGTTCGGTAGCGTAATTGAAGGAAAAGTTCAAAAGTCATGTGTTGAACGAAAGTTAGCTTCATGGTCAGAAGCGGTAGATGACAAATTTCATTTTCACGAACTTTACGCTCTAGCAAGGTGTGGGAGCGGGTTCGTTGGTATTCCATGACTTAAACAGCTGAAGCGCAAAAAAAGGTAACAACGAACTAATGAAACAACGAGGACAAGCGCTGTTACTGTTGTTATATTTTTTTTGTTGCGTTTCAGCTGTTTAAGTTATACTCTACCCTGCCTAATTCCACAAGTCAAATCGTTGTTTCCGCCGTGTATAAATTAACAAATGGAGGACAATGAAAATATCAGGGAACCCTAAAGCTTCGACTTTAAGTGTTGAACGCAATGTTCCTACTTCAAACACTTAGTGAATGAAACCTCTTCGAACTTGATATACATCCACTATAGCGAGTGCGCCTTTTGTAGAACGTTACCAGCTTTAAACCGCAAAGTCATTATGATAATCACACGCTATGACGCCCTACTTCAATGGACACTTGTATCGCATATTATTACAGCAATATTCCACGTTGTATTGTGAAGTATGTACACAGGACGCGTGTGTTTGTAAATCATGTGTTACCTTCACTGAATTTCCAAGCAGAGGAAGCTATTTTCAGTGCGTTCAGAAGCAGACATGTGGCCGTGAGGTAGAACATCAGCTTGCCACGCAAACGGCCCGGGTTCTATCCCCACTCTAGCCCAGGATTTTTTTTACTAATTTGCATCGTTCTCGATTTTTCGGTCACGCATAAAATGAGTTTTCACTCGCAACCAACGACGCCAACGCCAGAATTTCTGCGAAACGAGCGATATCGCGTAAAAAAAAAAAGAAAAAAGGCTGCAAAAAAGAATCAAGAATACTCCACAGCTCCACGTATTGTTTGGATTCAAGACACCATCAATGGAAAACAATCAAGCAAAGCAAATGAAAACATGGATTGAGTACAGAATAGACGTAAAATACACAAGTCTAAAAAAAAAGAAACAAAAACACGATGACAATGTTAGTGAAATGAGCTTTCTTCTACAAATACAAATAGAAGCTTTGAGAAATAAATAGACTGGTAAAAATTAATAAACCAAAGATTAATAATTATGGTAAATAATAGCGCAAACTTTCCATCCCAGTATTCAAATTGGATGCGACAACCTCCAAATGTTCTCTGCGTCTGTTTCGGAACAAGTTAGATAATATCCACGTTATGCATGGTATGTCTGGTTTTATGTTTAAATCAACTATTCAAGCTAATATCTGTCAGTATCACTGCCCGTGTGTTAAGAGTTATGACAATGGTTAGTTTTAGAATCGCGACTGCGTGGTCACCAACAAAGACAGCCACAATCACCGACATACCGCAGTTAAAACCCCTCCATACGTTTTCCGCCCACAGTAGACGCGATGGAGGAGCTTGAATCGCATTAATACGAGACCTTGCTTTCAAATATGGCGGGCAACTACCTATTTGCGACGTTTTTCAGCGACGCCACGAGATGGCCGCACTGTGATCGGCATTGTGAAGTGTGAACCAGTGCGCGGGGCCGAAGTTCTGAAGACCCCAGTCGTCGAAGGTTCAGTGTAAAGTGATTTGAACGTTTGCGTAAATAAAATAGCGCGGTAATTCTCTGCAGTTTGAATCTTAATGCAACAGGAACGTACAACGTTTCTCCTAGAACATATATCAGGAGCACATGCGGCAAATGTTTTCACGGCATTTACGACACGACTATAAGCCTATCCACCCCATGCCCAGCGGGCACTGGAATTCACTTTCTTTTTTCCCCGAACCAACTCCGGTTTCAGCTCAGCGAGAGTCATGGCTGTCAACTCCCTGTCTGTTTTGCTTCACGCGCTTCGCGCCAGAGCAGGCGTAGGCGCAGGCCTTGAAAAAACACTCAGATAAACGAACTGTCGTCCTTGGCTCATAACGTCTCAAGCGTGTAACACAACATCGCGCGTGCCCCGACCTAAAGCCTGTAAGCGCGTACTTCCACTGTCAACTAACTAAAGCTTTTCATCTACGAAACCTCGACAACTCACCGGTTTCCAGTGCCCACGCGTTCATGTTGCTGCAACGGTAGAGTGACGACCACTTGCTGCGGGTTTCCGGTGAATGTGAAAATGAGCACCACCGACTAGCTGACGCGGCGAGGATTTGGCGTCGCCGGACACCCACCCTTCCCTCGAGGCTCGTGCAGACAGCTAGCGGGGAATGTAGCTTGAAAACAGCGCCAACGGATGCAGCCATGCAGCCGCTTACGTGAAGGGGGAGGAGACGCTGTTCTGTGCGATAAGCCAACGTTGAACGAACGGCGCGCTATTCGATGTATAGCTGAAAAGAAAAGGCCAATGTGCCGGTGCGGCGTGCTGTTATCGCAGTTCGCAGTATCGCGAGCGCTGAACGATTAAAACTTTGACGAAAAGATAAAGAAGCGAAAAAAAATGTGCAGAAATTATATGCCTTTTACCGGCTGCGATCTACTTTCCGACTACGCCAGCTGGACTGTAACCCGCGTGTGGGAAAACAAAGATAATAATCGCAACCTCTACGAAAAATAGTTTAGATGAAGTGTTTCCTGTGATGCGCGTGCGTTTCGTGTCACGTCGTTCGCGTCCGACGCAGCACTTGCCCATTAATGTGAGAGACCGCGGACAGAAAGAGACAGGGAGAAGAACGCACCTGAGAAATCGTCCAGCGACCAAAACTTTTTTCGACACTGAGCGAACAGATGAGTGAAGTTCGAAAATATAGAGTGAACGCACCACCTCAATTCTCGCTTGCTGTACATTTGTGAATTTTGTTTCCAAAACTACCGGCGTAGGATAGGCAACCGTTTTTTCTGTCTGGTGACCAACTTCTACCTTGACTTCTACCTTGTGTATTCATTCCTTTTAGTCTTCCTTCGGCAATCTTTAGTCCTCTGCTTTTCCGGGCGTAAATATGAAAAATAAGCAGTTACTGGAATGCCGCATCACAGTCCTCAAGGTACATCAGGGTCCGCCCCTTCGCCCTTGTGAGCACGCCTACGGAAAGGAGATACCAGGTGCAAAAAAAAATTCCGCCATATCCACGAAGTGAATGATGATGAGTTGGCGAAGCTCCGGAGGTAAACCTGGTAAACCATGAATCCTCTGTACATTTTGCCCACTCGATTTTATTATATCGCTCCCCCTAGCGTACGTCGCCGCACTAAATCGAACGATTGCCTTCAACCAATGACACGCGCCATATGTGACATCATTCCTATTTTATAAGATCTCGCGTCTTTCATCAACTACAAGTACCGCTTTCTAGTTTATAACATCTTGCATCTTTTCATCATCAGCTACAAGTACCACCATCTAGTAAACACTACAAGAACTAAACGAGAGGTGGCTACATACAGGAGACGGTACCGCCATCTAGTGAACACTGCAAGAACTAAACTAGAGGTGGCTACATACAGGGGACGGTACCGCCATCTAGTGAACACTGCAAGAACTAAACTAGAGGTGGCTACATACAGGCTACAGGGGACGCACAGCCCACGCCCTAAGGAGCTTCGCCCCTAAAACGGACAGACAGCGAAACTGATTTCGTACTTTAATAATATTGACAAGACCACGGATTGAACAGGTACTGCCGTGTCTGCGGGATCTGCCCAATTTATTTTCGGACCGTGACTCTCAAGATAACGCTATGAATTTAAAAAAAACGAAATATTGACCGCGTACCAGCGTGCCTCACTGGAAATGTCGTCGAAAGACGACAGTCTTCTGCCGGCCAAGAGGTGATTTAATGAAATGAAATGAAATGAGCAGATTTATTTCTGGAGAGAATACAGAAAAACGAAGCGAAGCTAAAGGCCATTCGGCCTGACGTGGCTTTGCTACGCGAAAAAAGTTCAGCAAACAGTGCTACATTGAATAATAATTATCACAATACAAGGAGCAACATAATAACAGAAACACAAATAGCATAAAAGCAAAAATAGGTGACATATAAGTACGAAAAATAGGCTGCATAGACACACAGAATCAGACATCGAGGCTCTTTTCATTACATATAAAAAAACACATACATATTGATATATTCATATAATACACTCATAATAATACATACATCTGCCCATATGTACGTACATGCTACTGTATATACACGCGTTTTGTACCTAAAGGTGAGAGCATATGTGGAACCTAGCCAGAAGTTTATTGGAAACACGGTGTTTACTATACTCAATTAATGAGGACATGTTTTGTGTGATATTTGAATTGCGTTAATGAGAGGTTAAAATTTAATTGTTTACCTAAATGATTTATAAGCTGTGGGGCGCGGTATGCAATTAGGGCTCTACCATATCCAGTCCTAGTAGCAGGAACGCGAAATTGTTGCCTACGGAGCGAGTATTTGAGTGCGCCTTCCGGTGCCGTAATTGTGTGGAGTTTATTTTTATAAATGTAAAGTAATAGCTTATATTCATACACCTGTCTTACTTATTGATTATGATTGCTTATTAATTATGTTATTAAACTTATGTTTTGTTTTGCCTCAAGCAGTGCCTTCTCTATGTTAAATTGGCTGCATCTAGCTGGAATTGATAAATTCGGCGCTGCGTTAAAGCCTCTAGAACTTGGACGGACGGACGGACGGACGGACGGACGGACGGACGGACGGACGGATGGATGGATGGATGGATGGATGGATGGATGGATGGATGGATGGATGGATGGATGGATGGACGGACGGATGGACGGACGGATGGACGGATGGATGGATGGATGGATGGATGGATGGATGGATGGATGGATGGATGGATGGGTGGATGGATGGATGGATGGATGGATGGATGGATGGATGGATGGATGGATGGATGGATGGATGGATGGATGGATCCACCTGTGCCCTATAGATCGGGTGGTGGCTCACGCCACCTAGCCATAAATAAGTTAAGTACTATCATTGTGTGTTTAAGGATTGAATTTCACTCACGCCACGATTGTAGCCAACAATCAGTTAGCCTCCTCCTGGTTATTTATACCCTTTTAAAGTCTATTTTGTCTTCACTGTCTCTAGACCCCAATGCTTTGAAAAATTCGGTGCCATTATCTTTGACTGTAGGGCGGAGCTCTTTACAGAACATTATCGAATGTTCAGCCGTTTCCTCCTCTTCACACGCACTACATACCATGTCTGTGCCTTCGCATTTTGCTCGGTGAGTCTTGGTCCGCAATACTCCCGTTCTAGCCTCGAAGAGCAGAGAACTACCCTGAGAATTATCGTAGATCTTTTCCCTTGCAATTTCCTGTTTAAAGTTCGGTAGGTCTCCAGTGATGATTTCGTAAGCATTCCCATCTTCCACATGTCCCTCTCTGTTTCCTTCACCTTCTACTCAACCGATATTTCTTTTTGGCTTGGTGTTCTGCTGTTGTCTAAATACTTGCTTGACAGTTTTTGAGTTCGCTTCCTCCATTTAGTATCAACATTCCTTACGTACAAGTAACTGAAAACTTTCCGAGCCCAACGCTCATCTCCCATTTTTCTCAAACGCTACTCAAATTCTATTTTGCTGCTAGCTTGCCTGCACTCAAACGTTGTCCATCCCATGTCACCCTGTACCCCCTGATTTGGGGTACTCCCGTGTGCTCCCAAAGCAAGCCTACCTATGCCCCGTTGTTTAATTTTCAATCTTGCTTAAACTTCTGATTTCATGCACAAGACCGCATTGCCGAACGTCAAACCCGGGACAATGACACCTTTCCGAATCCCTCGCACAACGTAATACCTATTGCAGTTCCACATTGCCCTATTTTTCCTTACAGCTGCACTCCTGGTGCTTTCAATCATTACCTATCTTTCGCGCTCCCTTAGATACTGAGCACCGTTATTTATCCATACGCCCATATATTTATATTTATCCACTATTTCTAGTGTGACTTCCTGTATCTTATGCTCACTGCCTTTGTTATCATTAAAAATCATGATCACCGATTTTTCTCTGCTGAACTTCAAATTTAACCTATCTCCCTCATTACAACAGATGTCTACCAATCCCTGCAGATCTTCCTTGTTGTCGGCTATTAATACTATATCATCTGCATACATCAATGCTGGTAATGACTGTTCAATGTGTTATCCTTGCTTGGCAAAAGAGAGGCCGAAGCCGAGTCAACTCTCTCTAATTGGGCTTCTAGTCCCTGGAGATACAGTATAAATAACAAAGGTGACAAGAGGCATCTCTGTCGAAGCGCGCGTTGTATCTCTATAGGTTCAGATACCCGTTCTTTCCATTTGATAACTACCTTCTTACTTTTATAGATATCCTTTAGAAGATTGGTTATTCCATCTTCCCCATCTAGTGTGTCCAGTATTCCCCACAAGTCTTCTCGAATCACACTATCGTAAGCTCCCTTGATATCTAGAAATGCCAGCCACAGGGGCCTGTGTTCTTTTCCCGCTATTTACTATCGGCATCACCAGCCGGTAAACTACTGATGGCACTATTATAGGACGGTAGTTGTTTATATCAGCTTTGTCCCCCTTTCCTTTATAGATCATGCTCATCCTGCTTTGCGTGAGGTATGGACGCCATCTGGTAGTGTTGTTGAAAAACATGAGCTCATACAGAAATCAGGACCACTGCTAGGTAGCAGCACCGATGGTCGTCAAAGGGCTTTTTCGTGTAGGGCGTCGCGATCAGCTCAGCGTAAAAATTGCACTACGGTCTTCAAAATTACGCATCTATGTACTTCCTAATAAAGTAACACACCTCCCTACCAATACTTGCGTATCGATCTTGCCCCTACGATACTCGTAACATTGGGCTTTTTGATCGGAAATGTTTAGAAGCACCTTTCCTTCCTCCGTGTTCAGAAGTATAAATGCTGGCAACATTCAAGATGGCTGGGCGTTCAGCAACAGAGAGCAAATGCTTAAACTTTGGCCGGGAGGCTGAATCGTGTGAGAGGCAGACAGACCCGGTGTCCCAACAGCTCTAACTACAACGTTTCTAGGGAAAAAGTCCTCTCCCATGTTTCTCCAACTTACAATTGTTGTTGTTGTTGTTGTTGTTGACACGTCTTTATTCACACTTATGCCCTTGGAGGACTGTGGTAAATATAGGGGGAGAGATGAGATTAGATAAAAAGAAAAAGCAGAGTTGGTGTTCCGGCCGTCACGCCTGAGACGGAGCCTGTTGCAAATGGCTGGATCCTTGTTTTAGGTCCCAAAACCATGATACGATCATAAGGGACGCTGTAGTGGACAGCTCCGGAAATTTTAACCATATGGTGCCATTTAACTAACGTG